AATGGTTTTCAATTTTATGTTAAATATTGGAAATAATTTTTAAGATTCTCCATCAATCTAGTAGAACTCTTAAAAAATACTTCATCACCTCAAGAGTATTCAAGAATTCCATTTGATATCTTGAAGAGGCTCCGTCATCGAAAAAAATTTTGTTAGTCTTATTTTTTTGTTGAAAATATATCTAATTATTCTACAATTTGGGCCTATTTAGAAGTTTTTTTTGGAAAGAAAATAATATGACCATTATTTTTATTGGAATTTCATCTAAATTATTCCATCATTTGAGCCAAATTTAGAGAAAATTTCTCACCTAGAGATTTCTTAGAAATTTACCATTTAAAATTTCTAAAAATCTCATCCTTGGGAGTTTCTCACATGTTTTCAATCCAAATTTTTATTTGGGAAAAGAATACAATTACTTTTATTGAAACTTCATCTGAATTATTCTACCATTTAGGCTAAATTTAGAGAAAATTTCTCCCCTAGAGATTTCTTAAAAAATTTACCATTTAAAATTTCTAAGAATCTCATCCTTGGGTAATTTGTATTTAAATCAAAAAAATTTTATATTTTTATGGTTTTTTACTTTTTTTTTTTTTTGGTTTGAAAATAAATATTAATTATTGCTATTGAAATTTTATCTAAATTATTCCACAATTTGGAACAAACTTAGACAAAATTTCTCACATAGGAATTTTATAGAAATTTACCATTTGAAATTTCTATAAATTCCATCATTGGATAATTAATATTTATTCCCAAAATTTATTATTTGTTATTTTTATTTTTTCCTAAATTTAATCATGAAAAAAAATACTAAGAAGAAAAAAAATACTAAATAAAATAAATACAAAAAAAAAACAAAAAATGGCTTGGCTGGTGACTGGATCAACGCGGCTATAGACACAGGAAACGATTGGAAAGCTAGCTCGGCGGCTCAATTTGCAGCTCGACTCAACTGAAGCCGAAGCCAGGGACACAGGTTAAAGCGGGTTGAGCGCTCGAGTTGGGTCGCCTAGTGGTAAAATGCAAGGATCTTGGGTTGAATTAAAACGTCAAAATGATGCCATTTTGGAGCTGGTATAAAAGGCTAAATCCTTTCTTTTTGCCTCAGATGTCCTCTTCCCCTCTCTCTCTTTCCTTTTCTTTCCCTCACTTCTCTCTAGAAACTGATGAACTCCAGTTGAATCTTCACCGAATTCTGGAAAAAGTCACCAGAATCTAGGTTGGTTCACTAGAAGTTCATCAAAAAATTCAATCGGCACTGGAACTTGGTCAAATTATGGGAAGCTTGTCGAAAAATTCAACTGTCGCCAAAAAATTTATCAAAAAATTCAATCGATGCCGAAAAATTTCACTGGAATCTGAAAATTTTCTAAAAAATTTCTAGAAAAAAAATGCCAAAAATTCAAAAAAAAATTCCTAACAATCCTAGGATTCCCGTAGCCTTTCTAAACACTTCTTGCCCATTTCTGCTTTCTGTTTTCCCTATTTTTTGTGTTCTATTTTTTGTCCTCCATTTTGTTCAAGCCTGGCCTATATTTATACGCATTGATCAGAAGAGTTTCTGACCAATCCCAATTCCTTTTGTGATTGGGATTCAATATTTGAATTCAATTCAAACCCTACTAGCCCCATATTCATGGCAAAAACTTTCCTTTTAGAACAAAAATAAAAAATAATAATAATTAAAATAAAATTTAGAACAAATAACCCAAAAAAAATAATTAAAAAAAATAAAAAATAAAAAAGGGCCAATCTGCCCCATTTGGACCATATTTGAGCTAAGCCCAATGGCTTAGGCTCAGACCCTGTTGAACCAAGCTCAATGGGCTTGGACCTTGACAAATTAGGGTGTCTACAAGTAAATCCCTATTCATTTTAGGTTTTCATATTTCATTATTTAATGATTTGAAAATAAATCTTTGAAAAGAAAAAGAAATATAAATCAACCTTATTTAAAAAAAATTTCATGTTACTAATTTTTAAATTTAATTAATAATAGAGAGACAAAAAGTAACAAATCATTATTATATTAATTTCAATCTATACATATTCTACGAATTAATGATTTGAAAATAAATCATTTGAAAATAAAGAATATAAATAAATTTTATTGATTTTTCACTTTTATTTCTTTTATAGGTTTCATGATTTCATTGGTTCTTCATAATAATGTTTTTTTTAATATGATTGTTATTTTAATTTTTTGGTTTATTTTTTTAAATATAGTTTGTTTTTTATCTTAATTTTTATTTCAATAAAGAGAAACTTTTAGAATTTAGAAAACTTATATGTGTGTGTGTGTGTGTGTGCATATATACATATGTACACATATATATTTATGCATATATACATTATTTAAATATTTTTAAAGATAAAAACATTAATCGTACGAAACGGATAAAAAAAACCTAATATGTACAAAATGGCAAAGAAGAAAAATAATATGAATAGAATAAGGTCATTTGTTTATAATATATTTGCATAATTGAATGGAAGTGAAAAGTATCATCTTCAATGTTAAATTTGAAAAAACATGTATTTAATCTTAAACTATTGGGTTTGAACATTGAAATATTTAACTTCAAAAAAATCTAGAGGTTGAACATTTTTTCTAAATAAAGTATACGTCACTTTTATACTATCATAAATTGAATTTAGCCTTTATAATTAAAAATCCAAGAGGTTGAACATTTTTTTTTCAAAATAAAGTATAAGTCACTTTTATACTATCATGAATTGAATTTAGCTGTTATAATTAAAAATCCAAGAGGTTGAATTTTTTTTTCTAAATAATGTACTCGTCACTTTTAGACTATCATGAATTGAATTTAACAATTAGAATTAAAAATCCAAGAGTTTGAATATTTTTTTCTAAATAATGCATTCGTAACTTTTAGACTATTATGAATTGAATTTGGCCATTAGAATTAAAAATCTAAGAGGTTGAACATTTTTTTCTAAATAATGCACTCGTCACTTTTAGACTACCATGAATTGAATTTAGCCATTAGAATTAAAAATCCAAGAAAGAGGTTGAACATTTTTTTTCTAAATAATGCACTCGTCACTTTTAGACTATCATGAATTGAATTTAGCAATTAGAATTAAAAATCCAAGAGGTCGAACATTTTTTTCTAAATAATGCACTCGTCACTTTTAGACTATGATGAATTGAATTTAGCAATTAGAATTAAAAATCCAAGAGGTTGAACATTTTTTTTCTAAATAATGCACTCATCACTTTTAGACTATCATTAAATAATACACTTGTCACTTTTAGACTATCATAAATTGAATTTAACAATTAGAATTAAAAATTCAAGAGGTTAAACATTTTTTTTCTAAATAATGCACTCGTCACTTTTAGACTATCATGAATTGAAATTAGCCAGTAGAATTAAAATTCCAAGAGGTTGAACATTTTTTTCTTAATAATGCACTCGTCAGTTTTAGACTATCATGAATTGAAATTAGCCATTAGAATTAAAAATCCAAGAGGTTGAACATTTTTTTCTAAATAATGCGCTCATCACTTTTAGACTACCATGAATTGAATTTGACCAATAAATTAAAAATTCAAAAAAATCCAAAAGGATGAACATTTTTTAAAAATAATGTACTTGTCACTTTAGACTACCATTAATTGAATTTGACCATTAAAATTAAAAATCTAATATTAGATTAACATATCATATCAATATTGTCCATAAATGCTACTCCCTAGAGACGGATCTACATAAAGCATATGGGGTTGTTGCCCTCACTAAATTCTTAAATTTCTTTTGGATTTATTATAAAAAATTTTTAAAATTTTTAAAATTTAAAATTTTGCCCCCATTGAAAATTTTTGTGATCATATTTGTCCTAACTAAATTAAGGTTAATACAATAAATTTTTTATTGTTTATCTAGTAATTAAACATTAACACTTTAAATGCTAAGCAAATTTATTATAATATATATTTATATATTTTCAAGTTTGTAAAAATTGAAGTAAATCACTTTTAGAGAATTTGAAATTGTTTAAACTTTTAATTTTTTTTAATAATTTGTTTAGATTGACGCAAGATGATCTTATTGGGGTAATGAGACTTGGAGCTTGCATTACTTAAATGGTTTAATCACTTTCTAACACCACAAAATAACATATAAAATATAAAATAATAAAAATAAAAATAAATAATCATCTTTAACTAATATAAATTTTTGTCTTCATTCTTCTTTTTATTATATGTAAGAAAAGAATCACTTTTTATTCTCCAAATTAAATTGAATAAAAAATCAAATATATTTGTTTATTAAAAGAAAATAATAAAACTAATATATTAAAAGTAAATAATAAAATTAGATATGTTAATTTTATTTCATTCTTTCACATATTATATCTATTTTTAAGAAATTTGTATGTAAAATTTTATTAAATTAATATATTTATATATGTGTGTGTGTGTCTATTATGAAAGATCATTTATCTAAATAGTGATTAGGCTATATTCATCAAAAATATATAATTAATTATGCAAATATTATTTATATTGCAAAATATTTTTTTCATATACAAAAGTATTACACATGCTAATTTTATTTTTAATTTTTAAAATTAATTTATATTTCAATGAAAAACATTTTAAATTAACTTAAAATATTTGCCTACACTGACCATAAATCCTAATTTTATCCCTGCTCCCATCATCTCATTTTTTTGGGTCCATTTTTTTTAATATCCTAAAATAATTTGTTTTTCATTTTTATACACCTAATACTCTTATTTTTCTATATTTCAAATTGATATTTTAACCAAAAAAATGGCAAATTGAAACTAGTATAAAATTGATAATGAAGGCAAATTTTCCAAAATAATCAACATCCAACAATTGACAGATCAATTGAAAACAAATATTTACCTTTTCTTTTCTAACAAGTATTTAAACTGTCAAGAGAATTGAAAATAAGTGACATTTATCTAAAGAAAAGTTACCTTTTTTTAATCTTTCAGTAAATTCAAACACAAACAGTAAAGAAATGAGTAGATTTAAGATTCAACTCAACTGGAAGACAAACTGAAGTCAATGCAGAACCATTACATAAATCACCAACATAGAAGTGGATGGAATGCAAGCCATAACACTATCTAACATTCTACATCCATGGAGCACCTGTTCTTCTCCTTTCCAATGCTGTTCACTTTTGTTATCTTCTTGTTCATGTTGCTGAAACTGGGGAAGAGGTTCAAGACCAACAACTTAAGTCAAAATCTACCACCAGGGCCATGGAAGTTGCCTGTCATCGGGAATATGCACCTCCTTGCTGGTTCTCTACCCCATCATTCATTAAGAGATTTGGCCAAGAAATTTGGCCCCTTGATGCACCTTCAGCTTGGAGAAATTTCAAACATCGTTGTTTCTTCTCCACAAACTGCTGCAGAAGTGATGAGAACCCATGACATCATTTTCGCGAATAGGCCTCATCTACTTTCTGTAAATATTTTAACTTATAATTCAACAGATATTGCATTTTCACCTTATGGAGACTATTGGAGGCAGCTGAGAAAAATTAGCGTGTTGGAGATGCTAAGTTCAAAACGTGTGCAATCTTTCAGTCCAATTAGGGAAGAAGAGGTATCAAAGATGGTTAGAGCAATTTCTTCAAATGCAGGCTCACCAGTCAACCTTAGTAACATGCTGTGTTCTCTCACATATGAAATTGTTTCAAGGACTGCTTTTGGTGGGAAATGCAAAGATCAGAAAGATGAATTCACATTACTTTTCAGGGAAATTACACGGTTTGCTTCAGGTTTCACTCTTGTAGACTTGTTCCCTTCAGTCAAATTTCTTCAGTTCCTCAGTGGATTGAGGCCTAAACTTGAGAGGCTGCATCGAAAAGTAGATAAGATTCTTGATATTGTCATCAATGAACATAAAGCTAGCAACGAAATGCCAAAGAATAGTGAGAGGGAATTGGATGATCTTCTGGATGTTCTTTTGACCCTTCAGGAGAATGGTGACCTTGAATTTCCTTTAACAACTGACAACATCAAAGCAGTAATCTTGGTTAGGAAGTCTATTTCAAATATACTTTTTATTTTGCATTTTAAAATTTGCTTGATTAATTAATGATCTTCTGAATTTACTTGTTATCATTATCTAATCTAATGGGATTGGTTGAATTGATAAGATTCGAATGCTTCACTTGTAATGTTTAGATTCAAATCCTATTGCCATAAGATCCCCTAGACAATCTGTAAATCTAAAGTACATACTCTCTTAAGTTTGCGATCTGTCCTGACCCTAGAATGCTAACGCCTCTCCTCCTCACCCTAAACTTTCTAGCACAAAAAAAAAAGAAAGTTACTATTTGTCTTGCTATACTCATGAAGCAAAATTCACAAAATTTAATCCTAATTTTTTAATAATTAATACCACTTCAGGATGTTTTTGTTGCTGGGAGTGATACATCACTCGCAACATTAGAATGGGCAATGTCAGAAATGCTGAAATACCCAAGAGTTATGCAGAAGGCACAGGCAGAGGTGAGGCAGGTTTTCAATAGAAAAGGGAATGTTGATGTTGAAGGGTTACATGAATTAAAGTACTTGAAACTTGTCATCAAAGAAACTTTAAGATTGCACCCTCCTCTTCCTCTGCTACTTCCAAGAGAATGCTCACAGAGATGCAAAATCAATGGATATGATATACCAGTCAAGTCCAGAGTCATCATCAATGCATGGGCAATTGGCAGGAATTCTGACTATTGGAATGAAGCTGACAGATTCTATCCAGAGAGATTTGTTGATAGTTCAGTTGACTACAAGGGGGCTGATTTTGAATTCATCCCATTTGGTGCTGGAAGAAGGATGTGTCCGGGCATGGTGTATGGTATTGCCAATGTTGAGTTACCTCTTGCACAGCTGTTATATCATTTTGACTGGAAACTTCAAGGTGGAAAAAAGCTTGAAGATCTTGACATGGATGAGGTTTTGGGAGCTTCAGTTAGAAGAAAAAATAATCTGTGCTTGGTTGCAACCCCTTATTCTTCTCTTAACAACTGAGTTGCATTGAGACAAAAAGAAAAAAATTGTATCAGAATTGGGTACTGACAGTGAACAGCACTCAAGGTAATAAGAAAATATCATTTTGAATTGTGCTTCTTGGTTGTGTTATTAAAGATGTTGAACAAACACCAATATATCAATTATTAGGTCTATATACATCGTAACCACTACACCTAATGCTTTTTGTACAAGTTCAGCAGATAATAAATCTAGCAGCAAGTAGTTTTATTATGCAATTTTCTTCTCTACTTTCCTTTCTTTTTCTTTTTTTTTTTTCATTCCTTGCCTCAATGCTACAACAATGTATACTAAAGGTGTGCCTTGAATTTGATATGTGTGAAATATATAAAAACTGGTTTTCTAACCATGCAAATGCACGGCATTTTTATATTTATAATAACATTTAATTTAATTCATTAAAATTCTGCATAAAATTTTTGTAGATTCAAAATTTTGTTTTTATCGTTAAATATTTGTATCTTCTCTCTTTTTATTTTTATTAAATTTATATATTCAATATTAAAATCTTTGATTTAATTTTTAATTTCATAAATTGAAAGTATAAAAAAATATAATTTATCAGCAAAAATTTCAAATAACTTTTCAACCTCTATCTTAATATAGCAAAGTATGTTAGTAAATATTTAACACATTGAAAATTTTAATTAAATTCATTTCATAAAATTTGTTATATAAAAAAAATATTTACATAAAATCCAAATGTAATAAGTATTTATAAATCTTTGGAAATTATAAGAAAAATCGAGGATAAAGTGCAATTGAAATTTAATAATGAAGCTAATCAAAAGAATAAACGAATTTGAAATTGAAGACAAAAATATGATTTAAGAATCAAATCGAGTAAAATTCGTCAAATTCTAAACTATTTCTAAATCCCCTAAAAATTTATCTTCTCTATGCATACATATACCCATGATCATAAAGTTTTATTCATTACAAAAAAAAAATTAGAAATTCAATTTAAAATTTTAATCATCATAATAGAATAGAATTTAGAGTATGAGCAATAGAACTAATAGATATTAACTAAAAATTACATTAAAATAAAGAAACAAAAACCTTTTTAAAAATAAATCACATACCTCAGGAAATAAAAAAAGACCTCAGGAAAGAAAAAAAATACTTCTTTGCTTTTTTTAAAAAATCCATTGTTTATTCTTATTGATCCTATAAATCATTGTAAAAAGAAACATCTAAAGAAACTATCCACCAAGCATCCATGTAAATAAACTTGATCAGGTTTCAATGTATATTGTAATATAATATTAGATATGATATGATTCCAAAACATTTGGAACTGGTCAAGTCATTAAAAGAAGATAAAAACCTAAACCTGTATGCTAAATAATTGCTGAGCTTTGCCCATGAGACATGTTAGTTTTTGGATGTATTTTAGCAAAGAGATATCATAAAAAATAGCCTGAATGTGATTCAAAATATCTTGCAAATATTTGATGAAAAAGATGATCTGGCATCTTTTGATTTTTTTATTCCTTTATACATTATTGACATTCTTTTCTTTTATTTTGTTCAATTTAATTAGTATGTGGATAGGTAGGCTTTTAATGTGTTACTCTTTGATTTGATTTTAAGTTAGTGATGTAAATAAGGATCGACAAATGTGTAGAAAAATAAAAATAATGAATGAATTCAAAGCAGTTAATTCATACAGTTATCTTTATTTTAAAAATAAGAATAATGTATGAATTAGGAACAATTAATTCATATTGTTATCTTTATCTTAAGAGGTGACATCCTTTAGTATATGTAATCCCTTATCTTTAGATCTTGATCTCTTTTGTAAAAAAGATAAGAACAATAATAAAAAAAAAATCTTACATGGGAATTTTTTAAAAATCTTAACCCATCTTATTGACAGATACTTTGTTTGGCTGTATTCAAAATTTTATTGTGAAAAACTATTAGTCAATATATAGAAAATAGCAAAGGAGAGAAATAATGTGAACAGTATAAGGTCATTTGTTTATAATATATTTGCATAATTGAATGGAAGTTGAAAGTAACATCTTCAATGTTAAATTTGAAAATACCTTTATTTAATCTTAAATTATTGAGTTTGAATACTAAAATATTTAACTTTGAAAAAATTTAGAGGTTGAACATTTTTTTTAAAATAAAGTACTCGTCACTTTAAGACCATTGTGAATTGAATATGATTATTAGAATTAAAAATTCAATAAGTTGAACATTTTTTCTAAATACATCACTTTTTTATTATCATGAATTGAATCTGAACATTAGGATTAGAAATTCAATATTATATTAACATATTATATCAATGTTGTCATTAAATGCTACTCCTAACTAGGGACGGATTTACATAAAAGCATACAAGGTAGTTGCCTTCACTGAGTTCTTAAATTTCTCTCTATTTTATTTTAAAAAATTTCAAGAATTTAAAAAATTTAAAATTTTGCTCTCATTGAAAACTTTTGTGATCATATTTATCCCAACTAAATTAAGGTTAATATAAGAAAATTTTTATTGTTTATCTAGTAATTGAACATTGACACTTTAAGTGTTAAGCAATTTTATTATCATATATATATATATATATTTAAGTTTGTAAAAAATGAAGTAAATTACTTTTAGAGAGTTTTAACTTGTTAAACTTTTTTTTTCTAATAATTTGTTTAGATTGATGCAAGATGATCTTACAAGGGTAATGAGACTAGGAGCTTGTACTACTTAAATGGTTTAATCACTTTCTAAAACCAAAAAATAACATATAAAATATAAAATAATAAAATAAAAATAAATAATCATCTTTAACTAATATAGATTTATATCTTCATTTTTTTTCATTATGTGTAAGAAAAATATCATTTTTTATTCTCCAAATTATATTGAATAAAAAATCAAATATATTTATTCATTAAAAGAAAATGATAAAACTAATATATTAAAAGTAAATAATAAAATTAGATATGTTAATTTTTATTTCATTCTTTCACATATTATATCTATTTTTTAAAAATTTTGTAAGTAAAATTTTATTAAATTAATGTATTTATATATATATATATATGTATATCTATGCGTCAATTATGAAACACGATTTATCTAAATAGTATTTAGACTATATTTGTAAAAAATCATATAATTAATTATGCAAATATTATTTCAATTGTAAAAAAATATTTTTCTCATATACAAAAAAATTATACATGCTAATTTTATTTATAATTTTTAAAATTAATTTATATTTCAATGAAAAAAATTTTAAGTTAACTTAAAATATTTGTCCCACTAACCATAAGTCCTAACTCTATCCCTGCTCCCATCTTCTCATTTTTTGTGTCCATTTTTTTAATATCCTAAAATAATTTGTTTTTCATTTTTGAAACACTGAATACTCTTATTTTTCTATGTTTCAAATTGATTTTTCAAAATTTTTTTGCTTTTTTCACAATAAAAAAAAAAGAAAGAAATTTCATGGGAACAAAAAAATAAAAAAGAAGTATCTATATTCAAATTATGCTAAATTCTATGAATTAGTAATTCCATCCAAAAGTACAAATTTTAGATTAAAAATTCTAATTGACCAATTAGTGCATTGAACGTAATAATCAAATAATTACTTAGCAGTTGGACAGAACATTTGAAACTAATATAAAATTGATAATGAAGCCATATCTTCCAAAATAATCAACATCCAACATTTGACAGATCAGTTGAAAACAAATATTTGTTTAGATTTTTAAAGGAAAACTCTTTTTTCTTTTCTAACAAGTATTTAAAATGTCAAGAGAATTGAAAATAAGTGGCCACAAAAACCAACTTAAGTATTGAAATCCAACAAATTGACATTTATCTAAAGATAAATTACCTTCTTTTAATTTTTCAGTAATTGAAATCCAAATAATAAATAAATGAGTAAAATCTGTTTGTTACTTTAACCAATCATCTGTTGGTTGTAAACATTTTTTTATGGATTCTCGAGCAAGAAGTACAATATAGATTTATAGCATAATTCAATTGATTTATATAATTATTTTTCTGAATTGACATTCAACATAAATAAAATTTGAATTTCATCACTTACAAATTCTTTTATAACTAGAGCAGCATCTACTGTAAAAAAAAAAAAAAAATGGACATGCAGCCGAGAAGATTACATTAAGTAATTTAACTACTGGCCGTAAAGAAAAAGAGATGGTAAAAGTCTTGGAAAACAGCCTGACCATTGAATTTTTTTATTCCAGGGCTTTTTTCACCTCTAACCTGACATGGTTTAAACTGACAGACCAAACATGTTTCAGAAATACTGTCTTGGAAGATATAAATAATACTTTAAGGGAGGCATAAAACTTTGTTAATGTTAAGATTCCACTGAACTAGAAGACAAACTGACGTCAACGCAGAACCATTTCATAAATCACCGACATAGAATGGATGGAACGCAAGCCATAAGACTGTCTAATATTTTACATCCATGGAGCACCTGTTCCTCTCCTTTCCAACGCTGTTCACTTTTGTTATCTTCTTGTTCATATTGCTGAAACCAGGGAAGAGATTCAAGACCAACAACTTGATTCAAAATCTACCACCAGGGCCATGGAAGTTGCCAGTCATCGGGAATATGCACCTGCTTGCTGGCTCTCTACCCCATCATTCATTAAGAGATTTGGCCAAGAAATTTGGCCCCTTGATGCACCTTCAGCTTCGAGAAATTTCAAAAATCGTTGTTTCTTCTCCTAGTTTTTGTAAATATTTTATCTTATAATTCAACAGACTTTGCATTTTCACCATACGGAGAAATATGGAGGCAGCTGAGAAAAATTAGCGTGTTGGAGATGCTAAATTTAAAACGTGTGCAATCTTTCGGTCCAATTAGGGAAGAAGAGGTATCAAAGATGGTTAGAGCAATTTCTTCAATGGGAGGATCTGTTAGGAAAATGGGGTCCAGCCCCATGTAAGTGGTTTTGGACCAAGTAAAGGCCATGGGCTTTGATCTTTCATTTTACACAGAGCCCTAGCTACTTAATAAAAAAGAGGTGGGGTTGTTTTAAGAGGGTGTCGAAAACCAAGTAGAGAAAGAAGAAAAGCCAAAAAAAGTAGAGAGAAAAAGAAGAAGGGAGAGTTGGTTGAACGGAAGTTGATCCGTGGTCCGATTTTGTTGGAACCTTGTCAGGAGGTTTATGATTCAGAGTTCTAAAT